GCATCGCCATATTCGTCAGCCTTTACAAGCCCTTGTGTTTCAGTGGGGTGTGCCGCAAGTTGCAGCTTGATGATGATAATTGATGTGACACCATTGCCTTAATTTCTTTCTTTCTTTTGTTTATTGGATGCACATCCAAAATTATCGAATTAGAATTGAAAGACAAACTATGTTTCCCGTCATGTCTTAGAAATTTAGAGTACCAGTACCTTTTCTTTTTTTTTTCTTTTTTTTTTTACTTTTTTCGTTTTTTTTAATATAGATGTTGGAGTCTATTTATATTCATATCTACTAATTTTATAAATTTTAAAATTAATAATTATATAAATTTTTAATAATTTTAAAATTTAAAAGACTGAAATTAAATGATATTTCTTGTCATATCTTAGAAATTTAGAGTACCAATATTTCTTTTAATTAATATGGGTGTTTGGATAGTTTATACGCATCTTAATTAATTTCACGAGTCCTGAAATTAATGAACACGTAAGTATCCAATGACTTAAGATTTATAAAATTTGAACTAATAATTTTTAGAAAACAAATCTAAAATCTAACCAATTAAATTATACCCCTTATATTCCCAATACTTAAGATTAGTAGGTGTTTGAAAATATATTAGTAATTTTTTTAAAATATTTTTTATTTAAAATATATTAAAATAATATATTTTTAAAAATTAATTTGGATATAAATACATCAAAAATTATAAAAAATAATAAAAAATAAAAAATATATATATATAATTTTTTTTTTTGAAAAGTAAACAGTATACAATTTTTTATTATTTTGTGTCGTCGTCCTCTCTCGCTATTAATATATATAAAATTAGTTGTGCGGTTTTCTTGCTTGTTTGTTCTAGAAAGCTAGCTTCTGCCCATTGTTTTTCTAGTCAATTCATTCTCGCTTTTACCCATGACAAATATAAAACATTTTATTCTGAATCAAAAAACTAACCATTGTTTTTAATCAAATATATAAAAAATTATATACATAAATAAATAAATGTTAGAAGGTAACAATAACACAAATTAAATATTAAATAATAAAATTTTAAAAAATATAAATTAAGATATTTACTCTAATGTACCAAAAACTTATTCGATTTTTTATTTAATTATATATCAATAATTTTTTTATAAGAAAAATAAAACTTTAAATTCTAATAAAAAATAATTTGTAAGTATCAACCTTCTTTTATTTTTTTATTAATCTATTTTTCTCAACAACAAAAATATAATTTTTTTAACAAAGTAATTCTGAAAGTAACAATGATTAAAATAAATATTAAATGAGCATGAACGAATTGAAAACATAAAAATTAAAATATTTTTTAATTAAAATATTTTTATTCAATTAACATAATTTATTTAAAAAAAAAAATATTTATCAAGATATTTATTTTTGTAAGCAAAAAATTGTTAGAGTCATATAAATAAAAGATTTTGTTTTCAAGAAACCTGATATTCAGATGCTTCCATGCCCAGCCTACTTTGAAGCAGAAGATGACGATAATTCAGAACCTCTAGTTGCCGATCTTGGAGGATTAGATCCATTTATGGCTGCAGATTATTTGATAGTAGCAGAAGCAGGTTTCCTCTTGTCAAGTTTAATTGCCTTGCAGTCACCCTTTTTTGGTGAACACATATTCGTAATTTTTGAATTTTTGATATAAACTTAATTTATTTTAATCTTTCATGCTAGTATTAAAAATATTTTTAAAAAATAAAAAATATTATTTTTATATATTTTTAAATAAAGGAACTTCTGTGTTTTCGTCATCATCGACAGGTTTAACACTTTTTTTGATCTTCCAAAGGGGACTTTGTCTCAAATATATAAAGGAACTTCTGTGATTCTTTAAATTATCTTAATATAGTGATATTAAAAATAATTTTAATATATAAATATTTTAAAAAATAATATTACCTAAGTATAATAGATTTAAGGGGTATTTAAAAGTATAATAATAATTATTTTTTAAAAATTATTTTTAACATAAACATATCAAAATAATTTAAAAACTAAATAACAGACCAGCCTAGCAATCGGTTCTTAATCCAGTTATTTAGTTCTATATTTTTTGCCGAAGGTCTAGAGGTGAAGGGCCTCTGATTCTGTCATCGACAGGTTTTAAACCTTTTTTTTTTTTTCTCTCCTTCAAAGGGGACTTTGTCTCAAATAAATAAAGGAGCTTTTGGATTCATAGAATGTTAGTTAACATTCACCGTAATTCTTTTTTTCAACTAACAACGAGAAAAAAACAGTTAATATATTATTTTAGGCATGTCTTAGAGCAGTGAAAGTCACGTTAATATATTATTTGATTTAAAATAAACATAATGATTTTAATCTTTTCTTTCTACAAGTCCATCATTTAGAGTTAATTATATAAATTGTTTTTTTTATTCTTATTATATAATAACTAAAAACAAATTTACTGGATGTAATTTATAATCTAAATCCCGCATTTAAAAGATTTAACTAAATATTAATTAAAAAGTCAAGTTAATATTTTTTGATATATTTTATATGATTTTTTTTTTGTTGCCTATTACATCATTTATTATGGGTTTTTTATTAAATTTTATGATTTCATATAAGGTTGATGGTAAATTAATATTGATATTTTTTATTATATAGTAAAATAATAATTAATTTAATTTAATAGAATTCATAAGATCGCATGGTTAATGAATTATTTAAATATTAATAAAAAATTTAAATAGAAAATTTTTATATTTAAATTATTATACGAAGTTTAAGGATAACCCAAATAAAATTTTAACAATGTAAATGCGTTTTTTTTATTACGTTTCAAGAAATTTGTTCAACTCATGGTGGAAATAGTGAAAACGAGAGGGGAATAAACTAGAAGAATCTAAGAATCTTTTTAATTATTTATTTAGGTGATACTTTTATGGATGGATAAACCGACTTTTGTTACTTTTTAAAAAAAACTCATATGATCTTTACTTGTCTTTGAGCATTTGTCAATAAGAATGGCTTTCCTTTTCATTTTATTGCTGGATTTGCCACCCTTAAGTTTAATTAAGTAAAGAGCATCCCTTTCTCTTTCACCTAGAACATCATCAATTTGAAGAAAGTTTTTGCTAATGAAGTGAATCAAGAAAAAAGACGAAGCTTAACACATTACATAATATATATATATATATATATATAAATATATATATA